AAATAAAAAGTTCCCTGTGGCCCTTGTTGATCACGACCAGTGACCTTTGGAAATTAAGGACAACGGAGCTGAGTTACATACAAGACAAGGCAGGCGCTATACTCCAGGCTAGTATGGGACCAGCATCCTGCCCATCGAGTTAGGATTTTCTAAAACATCCTGACAGGTGAGTGACTGAAATATCAATCACTGGATATGGTGAGGCCGGGGAGAGACTATGGCAAGAATCAGAAGGGGAACCTGAGAGACCGTCAGCCGGTCGGGACGGCGGGGGATGAAAGGGTTGGCCCCCCGAGCAGCCCGGAGTGCAGCAACAGGACAGCTAAGAGCTGCACCAACGGCGAGTGACCACCTTCTAGTCCTGCCGCCAAGTGACACAACATCAAAGGAGAGGGGGACAAAGGCCATCACGAAAAAGGCACAAAGGGAAACAAGACAGAAGGAGAAGTTAAGAGCCAAGAAGTGACCTGACTGTTCTTTGCACTAAAGAAAGGACAAGGCCAGACTGCCAACTCTCTCCTGGCTCCTTCCAACAAGACGGGCTCGGCTTTATTTAGGACCTCAAAAATAACATCTCACAGAACGGGAAGCGGCACATTACACAACGGAGTAGAACTGTAAAATCTCAAACAAGTCAGGCAAGGCTTTCTTTAGATCACCCAAAATAAGCTTCTACAGAAAAGGAACGGCAAGCAAATGTCTAGCTGCCCCTTTTCTTTGGCCTTCAACAGCAATTCCTTCTAAAATTTTCGGGGACGACTTGGCAGTTTCCGAGCAAAACGAAAACTTATTTGAGTTGCTCAGTTATCATCTAAGAAGAGGTTTGCAAAAACCATTTTGCTTAGTGCTAACGAAGAACTAAAAAGGGGGGTTACTGCTAATAATGCCAATTCCTACTGAAACAGCCTGACCTGCGCGCATTTCTCCTAACATCTCACTAGGGACACGGCTGCTCTCTTCGGCCGCCACAGGTGGCGCGTGCAGTGGCTGGGGTCAGATGTTGCAGGCTGTTCAGGCATCAAAAAAGTACTACTTAAGAGAAATAACTACAGGATGTAGTAACTCAAAGAACTGGGCCCGTCTCTGTAGTGCCCCCCCCTAGGGTGGGCATCGCCTCTCTCACCGGCTCCCCAGCTCTCCCCTGGGGAGCAAGAGCGCAGAGCTCCGCAGAGAAGCTATTCTTGCAGAGCCACGGCCGCTAGTACATGGCCCTGGGGTTCTTAGTGCTGTAGTGCGCCTCACAGGCGGCGACATAGGCAGACTCTGGGAAGAAGTCGTCATGGTACTCTGCTAAAAACCTGCAAGGAGAAAAGAAGCCCGTCAGAGAAAGGCAAGCATCCCATGATCTCCCTCATCTGTGGCATCTAATGAACCAAATACACGGGTGAACGGAGTGGATCCAGACAC